TAGAGCATGTTTTAAAACCAGAGAAAGGGAAACAGGGAAAGCAGTTGAGAAGGTGGCCCATCTCACATGCAAAGAAGTGACAACAAATGAAAAAAACCATGCAATTGCCACAGCACAACCAGATGAAAATAATTTATTACCTGTCCCTTGTTCATATGATATGGGTTGGCAGAAACGAGGGAAAGGGTTCAACTCCAATACTGGGCAAGGAGCAGTTATGGGATTACATACTGGGAAAATTTTGGATTATGCCACAAAAAACAAAACATGCAGAACATGTGATCATGCTCGTCGGATGAAAACAACCCAACCAAACATGACTGTAGAAAGAATCACACAGGTTCATCAAACGATATGGAGCCAATTTCTGCTGTTGAACTCTTCAATAATGCTCCCAAACAAGGTGTAAAGTATTCAACATACACAGGTGATGACGATTCAACAACAGAAAGCTATATTCACCAGCAGGTTTCTTACGGAGTAGAGAAATTCAGCGACATTATCCACATGAAACGGTCTCTCACAACCAGGTTATACAACCTCAGCAAAACGGCAAAATTCACTGAATGTTCACCATTGTCATCATTGTCATCAAATGTTTTTCCATTGTAATCGGCCAAAACAAAGGAGATCCAAAGTCCATGCAGTCATCAATGAAATGTATTGTCCCTCACGCAGTTGGCGACCATTCCTGTTGTAGCGAGTCATGGTGTGGATGGAAACAAGATTCGTCCAATTACAGGCATGCCAACCTTCCGTATGGAAAAGATTTGCATGGACAGCCATTAAAATCTGCCCTTGAAGATCTGTTTGCCCAGGGGCCGGTTGTATAAAACTCTTAATTACTTTTTAATCACTATTTTGTAGTTAAATAGTGATTAACTCTCAAATACGCGCTTCTTATTGGATGACGTTTCCACTAACTATAGTTAACTTTAATCACTTTTTTATACAACCGGCCCCAGTACTACACCGACAATGTAATTACAAAACTTTCTCCTCCTGCAAACTCGCAACGAAATGAGTCCTTCAACAGTACTGTAGGCTCAAAGAATCCAAAAATTCGATTCTACGGAGGAAGTGAGAGCAATGATTTCCGTGTCGCCTGTGCAGTGGCTCAAACAAATGCTGGATACGGTTATGTCTGCAGAACTCTAGAAGCTTTGGGGATAGATCCAGGCTTGGCTTGTACCAGATATACCCTAGAAATGGAAAAAAAGAAAGACAAAGATTGTCAAAGAAAGAATTCTCTTGAATTTAAAAAGCGTAGAAACCAGTTACATACGAAGAGAATCCACGGCATTGCAAGAAAGGAAAAACAGGAGGGGAAAACGTATGAAACAAATGTTGGCCTTAATATCGACCAAACAACTGGGCCCACTGCAATTGACCATCAAATCAAAGAAATTTCTCGTTTGTTTGATGACCATATCTCTGTGGAAACTTTAAAAAGCTATGAAGTGGCAGTTTCACCCCTTACCCCCCGACCAGTATGTCCAGCTATGATATATGACAGCAAGTTATTTTACAACATTATTATATATAACACAGAAACAAACACTACAGGCAAAGCTGCCCAGTTGTGTCAATTGTCAGCTATCGACAAATCAGGTTATAATTCGTTTTCAGAATATATTTTGCCCACAAAAGACATTGACAAACATGCTTCAAGAGTAAACAAACTCTCGGTAAAAACTCTGAACGGGAAACGAACACTTTTTAAAGAAACAGCAGCTTTAAAAACCCTTACCTGTGATGATGCCTTGTCCCGCTTTATTGTTTACCTGAAAACATCCATCGACAATCTCAGAAGAGAAACAACGAAAGATATTTGCACGGTTCTCATCGGCCATAACTCCAAGAAATTTGACACCCCAATTTTTTTGCGCCACAGTTGCAATGATGTTCATGCGAAATTACAGGCGATGGGAATTTGGTTTGGCGGTAGCCTATCCCTGTTCGATCATCTGGTGAAAAGCAAACATGAAGCACTAAATCTGTCTGATGGCCAAACTTGTTCGTCGAAAGAATCAGCATTTTACGACCGTTTGTTCAACGAGACATTTGATGCACACGACGCCTTAGAAGATGTTATTGCCCTACGTCGAATTCTGTTTGCTTCGCCGCTTCGTCTTTCGGAAGAAGACATCGTATCGTATTGCAAGCTTGTTTCGAGTTCCGATGCACTAAACGACTGCCAGTACTTGGACAAACGGCACGAACTGCTACAGACGCTGAAAGACAAATTTACAGCGATGCAGGCAACGATGGAGCAATTAGCACGAGCATGGCTGAGAAGATAGCTGGTAGCGGCTTGAACTTCGACGATCTTCAACGTGTGTTCGCTGAATTTGGCAAGAAAGGATTGTTTGCTATATTATCCAAACCACCAACAAGTCACCAGCAATCAACAAAACCAAGAGTCACTAAAACACCTCGAATTCTCTCCTCAATCCTAACGTACTTCGAACGTCAACATGAACATTGAACAATGAGGCTTTTGCGTGTAAGTCACGCAATAGATGGGCGCGCATGCTCAGATGGTAATCTTGTGGAGTTGAAATTTTATCACGTCAGCAAACATTTCATTTGACCGCGCAAATTTTGTAAATGCAATAACTTTTTTTTCCTTCGGTCAATTTTTCTGAAATTTTGTATTTTAAAAGTACTAGTCATTTATTGTAATATACTGAATTTTTAAAAAATTCTATAAAACAGTGTTTGTGGAACAAATTTCACGTAATATCTCAAAAACTGAATTTATAACCCTGCCTAATTTTTTTATATAATCTTCCACTAGTTATTCTCTTTACACCTACACAATTTCAGCAACTTTGACCGAAGGAAATTTTAATAAATTTATTTTTAGTCCAAAATTTGATATTTGTCTGTTGTTGCTTAGGCTACATTGTTACCATAGCAACACACAATTTGCTTCTTTCGAACGATTACACTTGAAGTATAAAGATTATGCAAGCATTTCTACGTCCAAAAAGACCCCCATTTCACATAAATAGCAAATATTCTGCGTCATTGTGACGACCTTATTTTTCGCTGCTGTTTCTGTACACCTGTAGGGAGCCACCTTAAGCCATTGATAAGTTCTTCTCCAGGAGAAAAATCTTTTCCCCAGCATTGAAAAACATTCAACAAACTTGGGAAAGGTTACGAGTGTTTTCCAAGCCGTTTTCTTTCTTTTTCCATGAAAAGAGCTTGTGCTGTCACATCTTAAAACAAAACAACGTCTTAAAACAACGTCTTGCTAAGGCTAGTTTCCACTCAGGAAAGTCGTCCGCTAAACAGGGCATGAAAGGAACAGAAAGGAAAGTTTTTTTTGTGTTTAAGTTATTATCTCCAACCGAGAGCTTACAAGACAAAGAGAACTTATTCGTGTCCGTTCCTATCAAGCGTGGAAATTACCCGAGTGGAAGAAAATTAGCCTTTAGTACAAAGCTCAAGACTTTGTATACAATATATAATGAAAGTTCGTTTCAAAAGTTATGTTTGTAGCATTAGGCACGTTTAGCTTTGTTTTGTTTTCAAAAATATATTGTTATTATGAACCTGTGAATGCATGAAATACCGGTAAGCATCTGCAAATTTCCACTCCCAAGTTATTGGATATCGTTGACACTGATATGCAGCGAAACCTGTTTCCTGTGCCAGTCATCACGTAAAGTTATTTTGGAAACGCAGGTTGCATGGCAATAAACAGAATAAACACATCTGTGTCAGGACTCTTGATTATGCTTCTATTGTATGTTGCTGCATCATGTTTGGCATGGAGAAGTAATCGCGTGTCTGCTTCTTCGTGATTGCTTTGAAAGATCGACACCACTTCACTTCTTCATAGTTAATAGAATAGATGGTTTGGAAACTCATTAGAATAACAATATAACTCATTATCTATGTTAGTCAACGTTTATCCATAAATCTCTTCATTCACCGACACGTGTGTATTGTATTTTTGCCCAACTAACCAATAGCAATGTCTTAGGAAATTTACTTATCCTTGACTCGAACAATAGGATAAATTGGAAATTGCTATTGGTGGATTTGGCAAAAATACAATACACACGTGACGGTGAACGACCAGATTTATGAATAAACGTTGACTAACATATAGATAATGATTAATATTGTTATTCTAATGAATTTCCAAACCATCTATTCTATTAACTATGACTTCTTACAGGATCATCGTCAGAATCACCACGGGAAATTAGATAGCATTTTGCCTTTGCTGTCACATACATGGTTGAAATGCGACCCAATCGAAACGAACTGCACGATCTCCAGTGCTCACATAAAAATACCACAAGGGATTCTTTATTTTAACCACAGCTCAGATACTTTTTCTATTTATTTTATTTATTTATTTATTAGTTTCGCCATATTACAATACACAAAACTATAACAAGAACCACAGTGCAAGAACAAGAATAATATACATGACTATAGGCAGGGTGACCGCAACAGCGTGAGCCAATTACTGCGGGCCCGAATTAGGACATACAAATATAAAAAAACTATCTAAATAAAACTATAACTAATAGCAGCACTTAAGAGGCTGAACCAGAGTTCGAGCGGTATTACACTTGTTACATTTAGTTTTGAATGTTCTTGGATTTTCAGGATCGTAAGAAATTTCCAAAGCACGGAAGTAATATCTTAGAATAGTAGATTTAAATGAGTTCAAATTTATCATGTTAAGTTTTAGTTCGTCAGCTAGGCTGTTCCACGCCCTGGTTGTTCGAATTAGAAACGAGCGTTGATGCGTCGTTGTTTTGCTCCTGGGAATGGCAAACTTAGGTATGTCCGTGTTTATAGATGATCTGGTCGGTCTGGAGCTTCGGGTTTTTGGTACTACAGAAGGTTCTATTATTACCAGATTGTTCACCATTTTAAAGAAAAAAAACAAATCCAAAAACTCATGCCAGTAACATAATGGAAGTAATGATAAAGACTGTAATCGCGAGGTATAACTGTCTGGACTGGAAAACGGCAGATTGAGAATAAATTTCGTGGCACGCCTTTGAACTTTTTCCAATCTTGCAATTAGGTTGATGGACTGTGGCGACCAGATCTGGGTGGCATATCCTAAGTGAGGGCGTACTAATGTTAAATACAATGCCTTCCTCACGCTGGTGTTTTGAATGAACCGTGTGTTCCGTCTGATATAACCTAGCAACTTGTTAGCACGGGAAGATTGTTCTACTACTTTATTATTCCAGGTGAGATCAGTTGACATCCAGACGCCAAGATCTCGTTCCGATTTCGTCATTTCTAGAGTTTCACCCTTCATCTTGTATGTAGTCACCACTGGCTTCGTTTTACGAGTGATAGACAGCGACCAACATTTACTTTGATTGAAGGGGAGACCGGAAGTCAAAGACCAGGATTCTAAGTTGGATAAGTCCTGTTGGAGTAATTTCGTATCGTGTATTGATGCGATAGACTTAAATATTTTCGTATCATCTGCGAACATAGCGACTTGACTGGATTTGACGAGACCGGGTAGGTCATGAACATATAAGAGGAATAATATGGGACCTAGTATGGAGCCTTGAGGTACCCCAGAGGTTGCAGGTAAGGTGTTAGATGTAGCACCGAGGGCGGTAACGAGCTGTCGCCGATTAGACAAGTAGGACCGGAACCATTGCAGTAGGCCACCTCCAAATCAAAGCTTGCTAAGTTTGGAAAGCAGCAGCTCATGATTAACTTTATCGAAGGCTTTAGACATGTCTAAATAGATCACGTCTATTTGATTACCACTATCCAGGAGGGAGCCGATGTTATCTAGTGCTTCGATAAGGTTGGTTGTGCAACTACTATGTAAGTACTGGGCCATTCCATTTAATATCCAACCCCCCCCCCCCATGCATGAGGTCAGTAAAATTTTAACCTCTAAGAAAAAAAGTCAAAGTGCCGACACAACACCCCCCCCCCCAAAAAAAAACAAAATTGCAGAGATCAAAGGTGCTGACAGGCTTAATCCCTTGGAAACAACTTTGGGGTCATCCTTCAGAAAAATTCATTCATGGGGAGGGGGACATCAAATGGAATGGTCCACTGGCCTTAATTCCTGGTATTAGCTGGAGTAAAATTCTGAAAAGTGTTTAAAGTATGTTTATACAATTCTAAAGTGAAAACGTCACCTTTTGTTGGTTACCATGGATTTCGGTTCTAAACAACAACCATTCAACCTTTTTTTTTACTAATTACCTTTGAAATCTCATGGAAATCAGTCAATGTTTAGAACCATAATCCATGGCAACAACAGTATTTAATATTCTATGACTACTGTAAACATGTTGTAATGGAATGTTTTATTGGGACGTTCCAGAAAATATCCATACTCCCCCCATGGAGGAAATTACTGCCGACGTCGATTCTATACTGACGTCGATTTGCCGAACTAATATCAACGTTGACGAATAAGACGTTATTCTGACGTTGGTTTGCCGATCTAATCTCAACGTCGAAAATGAGACGTTATTCTGACGTTTATTTGCCGACCTAATATCGACGTCGACGAATAAGACGTTATTCTGATGTTGATTTGACGATCTAATCTCGACGTCGATGAAAAAGACGTTATTCTGACGTTTATTTGCCGACCTAATCTCGACGTCGAAAATGAGACGTTATTCCGACGTCTATTTGCCGACCTAATATCGACGGCGACGAATTAGACGTTATTTCCATGTCTATTTGCCAACCGAATATCGACGTCAATGAATAACACGTTACTCTGACGTTGATTTGCCGACCTAATCTTGACGTCGAAAAAAGACTTTATTTTGATGTCGATTTCCCGAGTCATGCCGACTGATTTATCAACACGCGTACGTTGATAAATAAGAAGTTGATCATATATACGTATAGAAGCTGATTCTATATGTTCTAAGGTTGGTGCCGGTATAAATAGGTGCAATGAGACAGGTTAAACCTTCTGTGCCATTGTAGAGACTGAGAATACTCTATATATATAATGCCTGATCTTGAACAGCTAGCATCTAACCTGCGTACGAGATTAGACTCAATGGCTCGATGAATGGATTGGGTACCAGGTTGAAAATTGTGAAATTTCGCTTTTGTGAAGTGGAAGCATTATAATATATGTCGCAATCGCACACTTCGGCCATTCTCTTCCGAAGTCTGAATGACAAACGTGAATTTAAATTGCTTCTCTTTCTTTGATCGACTCATCCACACGACAACAACCCCCGTCTGATTCCATCAAATCGTAAAACATCGATCAGGTTAGTAACTCATATCTTATTTAACAACGTATTGTTGC